ACCGTTTACAAAGTACATAAATAAACATAGTAATCAAAGTTTGAAAAATAAACAGCATTACCCCCAGTACAATTTACCCTTCAAACGTAAATCTTTGTTCATTCTAGGACATACTGTAGATTTCGTTTCATCTCCATTAGGAATGATTCAGCAGGCTTCTACCAAGCATGACAACAGCTTAATATGACGGAGTGGAAATGTGATCCAAACGCGGAAACCGTTTACAAAGTACATAAATAAACATAGTAATCAAAGTTTGAAAAATACCCGACAGAAAGCATGAGAGAAAAAAAGAAAAAACAATCGGAATTGTGAATTGGAAACAAACGTGAGAAATTATCCATTACTGTTCACTGTTTTGTTTACGAACTCTTGTTCCATAACATGAACTCGAATTGGCTATTACCGGATGGCCATGCAGCTGTTTATTAGCTTGTTCAGGTCGGAGACTGGGGGTAACACGAAATCATCTACGCTGCCTGGACGACCAGCGTGTAGTCGAGAATGGGAAACAAATCGTGATCGGCTGGGCCCAAGGACGCGAATGTGCCTGAAATATAGCCTATCAATTCCGAAGAGCTATTTTCTATTTTTTGCACAGACCATTTGGCATTTGTTCAGTTGAGAAAAGGAAAATGTTGGTTCGAGGGAAAACGATGAGGGACATTTTGGCCACAACCAATATCGTGAATCATAAGATAAACGCCATCTTAAGCAAGGACAATCAAATACGGAGGTTCAGCGCACTTAACGACGTGCTTGCGCACACCGTGGAGCCGCAAAATCGTGAAAGTCCACTTGTAAAGTTGGTGTTCAATAAAGTGATTGTGTTCCACCCTCCAAGCATAATATTTAAAGGAGTCCTCTTGAGAAGATTGATTTCGTGGAGAGGTTCTTATATATAATGACGTTGATTGATTTTCTGTGCAGACAGACAAATTCAGCCCCTGTGACCATTTACATGCGCATTTACATTATACACCTAGCTTGGGCTATGGGCTGGATAGACGAAAACACGGTATTTGATTTCCATAAAAGGGCCACAAAACTAATCACGAATGCGCAGAAAACTACACTTGTACACGCACAACTATGAATGCTTCCGTCCCATTTGAGATACGCCACATCAATCCTTTAGCATGATTTTCATTGCTTTGTCCTGTATTGTCTTTCTAGACCAAGGAGCCAAAGTTGTGCGGAGTTTAGACCAATCAAATTACCTTATATGAGTGTCGCGCCCATTCTGATGATTATGCACTACTTGTATCTGTACCACCATGGCCCGTGACGGTCTATTCGTTCGCCGAGACCGCAGATCAATCAGCTAGAACGAAAAAAAAATTCTTGCAAATGCGATGGAATCTTGGATCAAAGCACTCGAAAGTCCAAAGAACTATGATCACGAACTTGCCAACCAGTTGGTTCATTGAATTCCACAGGTAAGCCGTCATCAAGGTGCACTAAGGACGATCCTAGATGCACGATTATCCTGCAAGTACATCGGTACAGATATTTAAAGTGCGAAAGTGGAGGAATAACTGTTTGACTATCATTCAAACCCACTTGCTTGGTGTGTAGGATTCGTCATTTTTGAAGTCGAGATACATCATAACAAAGCAGATATCCGTTTTTCGTGGAAACTCTATTGTAACTGTGTGAGGCTGGGGACCATCACTTTGCCAGTACTTCTCAACACTGTCATGAAGTAGCTCGTGAATACCGTTTCCCTCTGAAATAACGTTGATATTTATAACGTATTTTGACACAATTCTACTAATGGCATTTTCAACAATCACAGACCCAACGGGCGGAACAGAATATTTCGTGAGATCAAGATCAGCATCTAGCTCCCAAACGTAACCCTGAGCACAAAAAGACAGCACACTTTATACAATTTCATTCCACTAAGCCTCCACAAATACAGGTACTTTAGTGCAAAGTGGGGACCAGGGCAGGGTAGCTTCAACGGGGGACGGTCAAGTCGTGCGTCCCAGTGTGCGCGCGGTATTGCGCGGCGGAACCCATAGCTAATCTGACGACTTTAGCGCCTATTATTTGGGCCCAATTTAGAAGTACAGTAGAATAGTATAACCAGCTAACCTTATTAATCTACCTTGCTTCAGATTTGGGCCCCAATGATAGGCGCCGAACTCATCCAAATTCGCCAAGAACTTCGCCGCGCAATTTGCCGCGCGCACCCTCGGACGCACGACTGACACACACCCAGCTTCAACAGGAATCTTTTTTCGCTCCCCTCGCTACAGCTCGTAATCAATCATTAGTAATCATCACTCAACCATTAGGTATGTCATTGTCGCTTTAAATCATACCTACATATGTTCGTTAATTTAAACTGCTTAGCGACGATACTGACGAAAAAAGCTAAAATTCGAAGAGTTGTTGGAATGCGGAGTAGGCCTACACAGTGAAAGACGGGAACCAACAGAGGTACAATTCAATGCCTTCCCAGACAACCCGTGTAACCAAGTAACCAATCTCGGGTACAAGTAAGCCCAAGACGCCCTGAGTGGGTATTGGTCCCGGGTTGGATCATCTGACCATACGCGTGATGCTATGCACTGCACCACCTCTGCCTATGAGAGCGAACAACATCCAATCAAATCAAGTTGAAAACAATGAAAAACTATGATGCAAAAAGAAATCAAGAAAGAAATGAAGAAATTCTTCTATTGAAGCCTCCTCTGCATCTACCGCCCAAGTTTTCCCCACCCTCCTTAACTCTTGGTATTACCTACCGGATTTGCAGCTTGACACTGTCCAAACAGCTTGGAAAGATATATCTCTCATAGGAAGATCCGCTTCATTAATGTTTTTCGGAAGTGCGACCGGCCAGTCGTAGCCATTCAATGCTGTCACTCTAGAATCTTGCTCTTCCGTTTCCATTTCTGAAAACAAAGAGCATTGTAATGTATATGTCATTAAAGGTTACCTCTTGAAGCTGCGTTCAGAAAATGAAGCCTACGGCAAATGCTAGGTCGAAGAGGTATTTTGAAATTCAATTTTTAAAAACTTCTTCAAGAGTGGAGGATACTAGTTTATTATTACATTATTCGTTACAGTTTCTTATCAAGTTAGTGAACATTTTACCAATACCATCAAGCCGCAGTTAGTTCGAAATCAGATAAGCAGGACATAACAGCATGATCTACCAGATAGAAGGCCGAACATATGGATACACATAAACTGGAGAAAGAGAAGTACAATCAGCTATGCGAACGAAATAACACCTAGTGAGTATGAGGCACGCCAACCTGGTGATGACCCTCGATCGAATAGGAGTGAGGAGCGCAGTGGCGATAATTTCAGAGTTAAGGGCACGATATTACGCAGAAGACGGAGATTTCAGCGAAAGAAGCATTAGGGAAGTTGCGAAAACCTCAAAGAAATCCTCAAATGAACAGTAAAAGAACCGCACTTCTAGAACTTACGATCATTTCTTCACACCGCACTGCGAACTGTGACTCAGTAGAAGAGAAACAAGAAATTCCTCGTCACAAGGGTGAGGGAGACAGCAGGAAGTTTTATTCGCAATTGACCAAGGTAGCGGCGACCGCGGATTTCGTCCATTGAAGTGGTGGAACTTTAGTGAATAATTTTTCAAGCTGTGAATTTCGAAACCATTGTCGAATTCGCTAGAGGGGATTGAGTGCCTCCAGAATGATAAGAAGGTCATCTCGAGCTGCGTTTAGGCTCAAGAGGACAATCACGTCGAAACGTAACATACTGAAATCTTTAAGTAGTTTTACCCATGATGGAAAAATATTGAGAAAACCGTTCACTCTACTACCAAGCTCTCTCTACTTGGAAAAAGAGTTCGACGGCCACTATTTCTATAAAAGCGCAACTGATTAACATTGGCAAGAAGTCTCAAAAGACTACGCCCACTGGATCTCTTTCGCTCTTCGATTCGGCAGTGAAAATTTGACACTTTGATCAGTGAATTGATTGAAGTTAGAGCGGAAAAATGGAATCGTAGACGATTCACAACAGAAAAAGTGGTAGCACCTAATAAGAGCTGTTAGTCTTTCAGACGGCGGAAGCCTTTCAAAACTGAATCCGCAACGCCCTGGTCTCAACGGTGGAAGCTACACGTCTTAGTGTGTCACGCGAGCTGTGATCTGGTCTTAGACAACGCGTGACCATTAACTGTTGAGCTCAAAGCTGGGCACTTCATCGTGGAATGGAAAACGATAACAACTATTGAAGTTTGAAGTACCGTTCAGTGCCTGAACAATTTTGCGTTTCGTCTGTAGATGGCTGGTGACAAGGAGTTATAGCAAATGGTTATCGTGGGATAGCTCCAACCGCTCATTAGGAAGGCGAGAGCCACGAGATCCGTTACTCCCCTCGTGTTGAATGCAGAATCTTGGCACTTCATTAGATGAAATGGATTGTAAAGAAATCGCAGATTCTTGGTTATAAAAAATGATAACAACTAATGAGGCTGATAAGAGAAGACGTTACAAGAATTCAGAATTGCCACACTCTGCTCATGTATAAAAGGGTAGAGGAGGCAAGTAGACTCCCATAAGATTTGAATTCTTTCAGAAAATCAAAAGGGGTAGAGCTCGCCGTTAGCTGACAACACCAACCTGTGAGCAACAATTGCTTAACATTTCCAAGTACCATAACATTAGCAATGCCAATGAATCCAAAGTGAAAAGCATTCGAGTAAAACAAGAAAATTAGAGTTTAAATCGAAATACCGTAAATCAGAAAAATGACGAAAAAAGTGAACAACAATAATAAAAAGAGAATGAAAGAATCCATAGAAAATAACCCCGAGTAAAATTTTTCCCAAATCTTGCAAGCCTCATATGGATTCCTCGTTCTTCATGCGGTTGCGGAGAATTGCGTCGCACTTTCCCTTTGGAGCGCAACAGTTGCTATAGAGCACAGAGAAGAAGGCATACTTTCTGTTCACTCGAAGAAGTTGTCAACATTTAAAGTGATCAAAGAAAATCTATCGCTTTAGAGGCCGACAGGGTAGTTCCCCTCATCCTCCGCTGGCCCAAGCAACTACCGTTAGAGACGGATAGCAAGCGCAATTGTATCCAACAGCTCAATCTTCACCATCGATTTTGAGCTATCTTATAAGAATGCTGCTTCCAAATTAGCCCAACGACGTTCATGAGATCATGTAGAGAAAACGGATTGTTTTCACCAGTCCCTCTATCCTAGGTTGACATGCTCCGCTGACACATCGCGACGCATCAGCCGCAATAGAACTTCGAGGTAAAATCGTGGCGTAGACTTCTGAAAGCGCATCATCCGTATTGCGTCGGCGCCAAGTTTGATGATACGATCAGCTGATGAATTTCAAGGAAGGCAGCAGACTCAACTGGACCACTATGACTTGGAGCCTGGTGAGATTTCTTTTCAGCGTCGCGGATTTCTGGGTCGCTTTCCAGTGTTTGCCCTTCATCATTTATCAATAGTGGTTTTCCTTTTTGATGAGTCCTTCTTACATTTCAATGAAGAGAGTTTTTATAAAGAGAACTCCGTTCATCTAAATGGTCAGTGCGAATCTGAGCTTGGCTATTGTGTGGGAGAGTCCTTGGCAGACATAGATGATGTTGCAGATGAAGTGGAGGTACGCTCTTTTCCTAATCTTTTATTAGTTTCACGATCGGATTGTATTAGAGGTAGATTCCATTTTCATTCCATTCATTTTCATTCCATTTTTTTTCAGATCAGCTGAAGAATGTATTGGCCAATGGCCAATACATTCTTCAACTGATCTGAAAAAAAATGCTGATGAATTCGTATTAAACTGTTACACAGTGTAACTGTATGGCATGCCAGTGTTTGCTAGATTTTGTCAATCATCTTTCCGTGCTTAAATTAGTTAGTCCATTCGTATTAAGAAGTGTGGTAACATTGATACCTAATGCAGTGTTACATAAGTGAGGAAACTATAACTAAGGAGGTGATGATCCCATATGGTTAAAGTCTTGGAGAGAAAAGGGATGACTATTCTCGTAACACTGAAGCTTTTGTAGTAGCAATCAATATTTCCACCTCCACCCCGCATATTCGGAGCAAATGAATTTCGTGGAAATGGTCTTGGTATGCTGCATTCGGATTTCTTACTGGCTTGTTTGGATCTGACAAAAACCTTTAGCAAACGGCTTCGTTGAGAATCTGTCCATAAGTGACTTTTATCAGAGATGATGTTTTTGTTTTCAGGTTGAGCATAGCGACGTAGCCGAATGGGTTCATGAAAAACCACATACATTGAAGTCGTTTGCTCCAGCCAATGTTAGCTCATTAAAGTTTTTGTTGGGTTTTGTTGCATCAAAATTCTTGTTTTCTAGGTGCTCATGACTAATGACTCTCTCAAAAGCCGTCCTCAATTGTTTGTTGGAGCTGGACCATCTACGCAAGATCGTGGCAACACATCAATGCAATGGGGAGGTGCGAAAGCTTTAAAATATCCTACCATTTGCACCCTCCACAGTTTTCAGCGAAGTCAACCGGTGTTGTTATCCTCTAGGGCACGGCAACTTAGGCACCCTCTCAATAAAAATATTTTTCAATATTTGGACAAAAATCCTTAAGATCGGGTCAAAGGGCTTAAGAGTGTTCGAGGGCCGTGCTTTCAAGCTTTTCTATTTATTAGTGATGGCAGGAAGCACTCTAGTGAACAGCTGAGTTATTCCCATTTCAGATTATAAGCCTACCATACACGTTGATGTTTAACTAACTCTTCCCTTATCCAATCCGACTGTTTCATAGTGGAGCAAAACCGTATCTCCTGTTTATCCATGGCCTTATGAAGCAATTGTTCAGATCCTGGCGACATCCCGAGCTCGTCATCCGATTCTCAACCTATACCTGGAATGAAATCTCTCTTCAAAATGTATGGAGAAGTGGCCGTGAGGAAGGTTAGTTGTAAAACTTTCGCTTCTTAAATTTCCTGTTTGAGAGAATCAGTTCTTCAATGTCCAATTAGGCTGCGCAAACGCCCTTGATAGATGAAGCTGTTGCAGAGGAAACCGAAGCAGATAAATCTGGTCAATATTCGGATAGAGATAATGTGGGTGTTTTTTTTCCGCGACCATAATCGACTTTCTCTTAATCTTGGCATGAATAGTGGCTTGTGTATACTACTAAGCCATTCTCATGCAGCTCTTTAGTCTATTACCAGTCGGATCGCCCGAATAACGCCAGGCTCTCCTCCTTCTTATGGGTTCGCCCGGCTACGCCGGGCGCTTTCCCTTCCTGTGAGAAACTTGCTATGTGCAAATAACACTTCGTATTCTCATTTTCCTTTGAAAGCTCTACACCCTCAGTATCAGCTCCGAAATGGGAGCGATTTTTCTCTGTAAACCATCTTAGCTGTGTTCGAGTAGGATATCGTATAGTATCAAAAAGGCGATTATTCAGAGAAAAAAAGATAGATGGGCTAAGGAGGCGTATCTCCGTTAAATTTCAGTGCAACTGGAATGATCCAGCACTGATAGCACAACATTCTGCAATGCAGAAGTGGAAGTAGTTTTTAAAAAAGGCAAAATGAATGACAGTAAACTTTGGTAAATGTACAGACATCGGATCGCCCGGCTAACGCCAGGCTCTCCTCCTTGTGTCAAACACCCTCTCCCAAGAAATGTTGAACTGAGGAATTTTATTCCCTTTCTCAAAGTTTATAGTTTTTAAGTTTTTTCCGTGCTCAGCTGTGTGAGAGTATGAAACTGAAACAGAGCTCGGAATCCTTCTTTGACACAACAGAAATCGAAAGCTTCCCTCTTACTCTGATAGTTGCAGTAAGTCTAATTCTCCACTCCTTTTTTGGAACAAATGCAGTTTCCTGTACACGGAATTTGACACAGGATCTACAGGGCATTGCAAATGGTATTCAGCTGAAGTCGGTGCTTACGCCTTTGATTGGGAGTCTCGAACTTTTGCTCTCTTTCTCAGAAATAAATACGCATCGAAAATCCAACTGTTAGACAATCAAAGATGATGCTGTGGAGATGTTCTGAGTGATGATAGCACCGTTATCAGATATTTTTTTATCAATGGACCCTTTTCCTTACGGAGATATCATTTGTTGAGAATTCTAGATTACAGGCGGTTGAATAAGTTTTCTCGCAAATGACATCGAGCAAAGAGGATCCTTCATTGAATCAAAAACCTTGCTGGGTNTGTGGGATGCTACATAGGAAACTTTGAGTGCTTGCAACGGCGCTGCTCATGGGAGCTTACCAATAAGTCATGAGAGGGTATATGAGCTTGAACAGAGGTATCGTGATTTTCGGCTTTTCTTTTTTACTTTGATGTTTTCTCTTCGCAGTGAATTTCATTCTTCTCATCTCGGTAGTCTCTCTAGATTTCTGGGCAAGTTATTAAAAAATTATGTTTAGGTGAACGGCTTCTTGTCAGGAAATTGCTCACGATTAGAAGTAGGCTTTGAACGGTAGCTCACTTGGTACTAATGTTGTCTGTTAATATGGTAAATTCGTCACATACTGATAAAATAATTAAAGGGCGTTGGGATGTAGTGGCATGAGGCGCGCGGTTCAGGGATCGAATTCCAGATGGGTAACCGCCTGAGTCAATCGCGCCTTTTATCCCGCCGGAGTCGGTTAAATAGCATCAGACTGGCCTGGAAGAGTACTGTCACTGATACAAACAATAAGGTGTATATCGTATTGCCACCATACGTCATTGTATAGGACAAATACACATTCAAAGCGCAACTACGATTCTTACAAGAGGTCGATTGCTGGGGTACATCTCAAAGTCGGGTGGTGATCATCGCCGAGGACTTAATCCTTTGCCCTTCACAATGATTACAATGTGCACAGAAAAATGTCTGGTGTTTGCTTAACTTGTTGCTTTACCAAGCTGTTGCTATAAACTTATTAGACACCTGATCTGCTTTGACTATTACAGAACAACAACCACTTACGGTAAGGTTTTGCACACTTTCATTGAGATAATGCGATTGTTTGATGCACACTTCTTCAATTAATAGCATAGAGAAACGGCTTAGAGAAGAAGAAAGAAGTGCTGTCAAACAATCGCAGTATCTCAATGAAAATGTGCAAAACCTTACCTTTAGTGGTTGCTGTCATAGTCAAAGCAGATCATGTATCGAGCACAGTATATATAATAGCAACAGCATCTGTCAATCGATGAAAGTTCCGCTCGGCCATTTATCTTCATTCCTGCAGGAAGCATCCCATATTTTGATGGGTGCCATAGCTGTACATGAAAATAAAGTATGCACCACGATACCACAAGAATTCCGCGGAGAAGGTACCTTTGTTATAAATTGTGAAAATCTCGATCGTTCTGACTCCAACAACGACGGCCTAGGAATGTGGGGTGAGTGAAGACCAGGTATGCTGTGGTGTACCCAGTTTTGATTGCCGTTTAGGTCGGCCAAACGGACGGAATCGTTATTACGGTCATTCTTCATGTGGCCTCTTCGCAAGAATGGACGATGGCAGGGGTAATCTTCTCCCTGACGCAAAGTACATATGGAAATGTATGATGCGACGATATGAGCATCCTATGACCACGAGTGTAAATAGAGGTCAAAATCGTTTTATTAAGAAAGTGAGCTATTTTATATTTTTTGTAGTCGCCCGATTTGTTGTCACATTCACAGCGTCACAGCTCAACGCATGCATTTCGGTTTTATTTTTCAGGTCTACACAGCACTCCATCCACCTGATCGAAAGGAAGTCGTATCATTAATTGTGATAACATATGAATGGATTGGAAAGCCTTTTCATTTCCGTACACTTCGTGAGTTGAATCGTTTTATGTTGAGGAGAAGTCGTACTTTTTTACTCTTTCTTATTCTTTTTTTTAGCTCTGCCGACAAGGAAACGGCGTGATGTTTTAGCTGCACCGATTCTGCCTCCTGGTTCAAAAGATTGGCAAGCCGCCTCCTTTGTAGGTTTACTGCTTGTTAGTATCGTTTCGGGTTAAATAACCAGTTCCCATTTCAGCAAAACGGCGTCATGGCCGCTCTACCTGCGACTTGTTCTGCGTATTTTGGTGACTGCCCATTATATGCTGTGGGAGCAATTGATTTTAATGCTGTAGCCTCCATTATTCTAGGTGGAACCATAGTAGAACCTTCAAAGTACGTGATGTTTTCCCTTCTACTTAAACCTTGCAGCTCTCTTTAGTGAGTCCTAACAATCGTCACTAAGTTATAGGGACCATGCTCTTGCCTCTGACGGGGTAGTACGGGCTGAGGAGAACTATCCATTTTTTTCAGGATTACGGTGGTTCAATTAAACCCCTGACTAAACAGAGAAGTGGGGGGAGCGAGGACTCTTTGTATTATGAGTGTTTTAATTAGATTCAAACAAGGCCAATTAATAGCTTATTGTTGGTGGCTTCGACGATGTTATTACATGCTCCGATGTTTTTATGAGGTCCTTTTGTAGTATTACTACATAACCTGTTTTCCTCCGATTTCAAATTTTATTTGTTACGAACTGATAGTTTCTGCATATGCCTGCACATTACTTCTTATTATACTGTTTTAAGGATATGTAATAAAGTTCCTCAAGGATATCGAGAGTGTGGTACGTTTATTATTGATTTATGCAACTTCGTTTCCGACGCCGAATTAAGAAGAGATGACAATGGATGTTGGGGAAAGCCGGCTGGAAATTCGAGGTTTCTCAATTGGATTTGATTTTCTTATGCTTTTATATTACAGACAGCCAATATTACCTTCTCATATTTAGGTATTACAAAATTGATTCGAGTACGGGTGATGCCGTGAGGGTTGACCGTTGTTGCAAACTGATTGAGGGAGCTGAATACGATGTACAGGTTGGTACATACTCATTGCTGGCACTTTCTTTACTGAAGAGAAAAGTTTTTTTTTTTATCTGAAACACATCAAAGATTTTCGTTCTTTTTGTGGAAAAAAACGTTCTGGCCAGTAGCAATCTGTGTCAACCTTATGTAGTTTATCACGTGACATTTCTCTCCCGCGAAGCACTTCAGTTGGCTGGGCTGGGAATCACATTTTGAGCTGTTTCCATGTCCAAGGAGAGGGTCGTGGGCGATGTCATTATTGGGATAAGGAAATGAGTGAGCTTCATCGATCATAGAAGAATCTTCCAGAGCATAGATACATATTTGTCATTAAGTTCGTTTCTTTCACGCGGCTTTGAAAGATACCTTGGTTTGTCGGTTCTGGTATTAGGCTCTGTAACTCAAAGATGCACAATTGTCTTACAATTAGCGTTTCTACCAAAATCATCTCTACATAAGAATAAGCAGTAACTGAGGAGCATGAGGGCCGCACAACTTCTATTGTAGCCTTGTATTGAAATTGTTCTTCCCATTTCACATTTATTGCCTCCAACTAGTTTGATTGCGCACTTTAAATGGGTCTCTCCTTTTTTGTGACAATACTGAGATAAAGCCGGACATTTCCGTTTTCAGTACACGCGGTGCGTCGATGTTGTAATTGGGTTCTTTAAAGTGTGCCCATAAACATGATCAATAAAAGAAGAAAGGAGGTACCGTAAAGCACAGCTTCCGGCATATAAGTGTTGATCTGATCCAATTGTTCGCGATAAAGCGTTTTCCATTGCCCTTCAACTCCGAGCATACCTTATCACTATTAGATGAGAAGGATTCCTTTTCGTTTCTTGTTCAAAATTAATCATAATAAAGAAAAGTGATGTAGCAGTTTAGTTCAATCCACTTGTGAGAAGTTTAACTTTTCTTGCTGGGAATCGTGGATTACATTTTGCAGATTCTGTCTAAAAGATACGAACATCCACTAGTTAATGGAAGATTTGTGCGTAAAATTTACACCGCCAGAACTCCATCCAACTCTAGGTAAAGTTTAATTTTTTTAGAAGTTTTGTACTTTCGATGATTTTTATCGGGCCATGATAAATACAGTTACACTGGTAATTGTTTACAGGGTATATGAACCTTGCATGTCTCTAGCTGTTCTCACTTATTACTGGAAAGGAGAACCGGAGTATTTCGAGGCTGGTCCGCAAAGAAGGGTAAGCATTGATAGTTTCACTCAATCAGGCCACAAATTTTACGGTGGATTTGAGGTAAGGATGGCTGATGCTGAAAGATCACGTTTGGATATGCAGTACGCAGCGCAGTCGAGCCAAGCATGCTTTACAGGTATCAAAAAAGTATTTATCTAGTGAGATTATAGCCCACGTCCACAGCATTTCAGATCGTACCAGAGCACCATCTCCTCCACCGAAACGGTCGCGGCTTAGGGTCGACGAAGAAGGAATGGGTAGCAGCATTCAATCAATTATGTATAGAACCGAATACGAATTACAGGTAAAAATTTGTGAAAAAGGCTACTGGTACAGAATAATCTACTCCTACAGCATCGTAACTCATAAAAATAAGATAATTTAATACACTGACAATATCCTTAACCAACGACACATACTGCATAAGAAGATATTGCCATCGCTAGACACTATAAACGAAAATCGCCCTGCGACATTGAAACCCCATCTTTTTACTCGCACATATGTGAATCTTTCCTATTTGGGCTCATCTATCATAGCTCCGTCAAGCTAGAAAAAATATCACCGGAAGAGGTTTATTGTGTTCACATTCTTCGCCTCATTCAAAAGGGGGGTAGAATTCAGAATGAGCGAATATCCAGAGTTTCATGCTTTACTATTTACTTCCTTACAGGAACGTCAAGCGAACCTATTAGATCGGTTTGAAGCCTTTATGGATAGACTTGAACGAATAAGCATGTGCCTACCTCAGGTTCAAGAACCGCTCCAACAGGTTTTCCTTGCATCAATTTGACTCTCCTATTGAAAACACGATCAATTAGAATTGAACGAGTTGTTCTTTCCAGGTATGGGGAGGAGGAGCAGTTCACGATAATGACAGCATTGCTCACGAGGAGGAAATCATTGTGGAAGATGGGGATTTTAATGAAGAATTTCAGTGAAGAATATGAATCCAATATTTCATGTTTGCGACGATTACTGCTCAGAGACCATGTGATAAAATGCGGGCATTGTTAGCCTAATCCTTTCAATCATAGCAGTTGTTCTCCAGTATGTTCACTGCAGAGATCTACTTATATTGTCGATCTTATTCCATTTGCTTATAAATTTGTGCTTTTTCTCATGCTCTTGAAATTGATATCCATACCTCTTGTTTTCACAAGATAAGGATAGCTGACCATTAGTAAAATCACCTTTTCAATAAATAGGACAAATCTTGGCGAATTACTGATTAACGTTTTAAGGAAGTTTATGAAAGCAAACATCCAGTGGAGAACGCTCCTGTGCGGTATACACATAATAAGCCATCGAACGTGTACATCCCAGAGGTGGCTGGTTGCCTTCATAGTCCGCCGTCCGCCCCGCCAGGGCAGCGCTTGCCCCTTGTTTATAACTGAATCTTGGTCGATACCGTCGGACGAGTAGTCCCCCGGTCGGCTCGCGCGCTCGCTCGCGGACTAAGATAGCAGCTACTGGGTCCTGACGCCAAAGTTGGCGTCGCCTGCCGATCCATACTTCGCGGGTCGATGGCTCATAGTGCAGGCTGTGAGTATATAGCGAACGATCGAAAGGGTGAGACTTTTCGGGGTAATTTTCTTTCGCGATTACAAGAGAGCTGGTAACGTTCGCTTTCACTAGCAAAGTACCTCGGCAAAAAAGGGTATTTCGCACTCGGAAAAGAGAAAAGAAATGATTGCAAGTTCTGTAAGAACGCGTCAGTCCCTATCACCGCCAGCGTGTAACTCACATGAGCGTACCATGCTCCGACTTATCGAGTAAGTCGCGGCGCTGGCGTCGCACTACGAACGCGCTCATTGAGTGGAGCTGAGATAACACTGGCTAATTGCATTTTTGACTAATAGTAAAGTTGCTCTCAGACAGTTCAAAGTAAGGCGTTCCACAATCCAACCAAAGGTTGCAAAGGGCCAACCATAGGGGCCTACCGGAGCAACTTCCTACTTTGGTGTTTCGATTTTTATAACTACCAAATTTATAGAGTGATGCATCTTCATCTTTGCATCGGGCAACCACTTCTACAAGAAAGAAATTCAGTATGAATATTCACTCTTATAGTGACTTTACGATGAAATAAAATGCAGTATCCCATGGACGCAGATTCCCACGCAGATTCTTCCCTTTTCTGGCATAACCATATGACTGCTTCCATAGTCCGCGACTTGGTCCACGAGCGAGCGACGTGGGATTAAGTTGTGAACAAGGGGCAAGTGCCGCCCCCGTCCCTCGCTCGCTCGCGGGCCAAGTCGCGGACTATGAAAGCAGCCTATTCGAATACGCGAATTCTCACCCGCCGCATATACGACGCGTTGAAAAGGGAACATAGGAAAAAAGAGCCGCTGAGAGATGAGGTAGCATGAAAAGCACTCATTCGAGCCAGGACCCATAGTAGGGTTACTGTGGGAGCTGAGTGCCCGAGCTGGCTCGTTTCTGGTCCGTCCTTCTCGCCTCACAAGGGATATCCAAGAAGTAGGAATCAAGGGCGGCCAAGCCACGCATTTTGTCCGAGATCATGAAGCTTGCGGCAAGTCACCCACACACTGACACGGCTCATCATAGAGACGTTTCGCGAAATGGTCGCGCTATGAACGAGACAACTCAGCCGTATGCAACAATTCGTAAAATCGACCCAGCCTCCCGTACGACGCAGGTGTTTTTGTAGTTGAAATAAAATGCAAACGATGTTTTTCGGCATCGATGGGGACAGCACAGAAGTGCAAAGTCGCACGCGGGTTTCGTTACTCGGCGAATCGTTCTAGAATATTCTCCATGGCGCGCGTTTGCCCACTAGAGCACACTGACAGTAGAACATTCGGGAGCTGGTCAGCTCTTCTCATTCTTTCCTTCGTTGATGTCACGTAGAAGGCTCGATTTCACGTTTGATAGTTCGTCATGCATTTGTTTAAACATTTGTTCGATTTCAATCTATTTTCTACGAAAAAGCGCCGTTCATGCCGCTGTTTTTGACGTAAAATCAAAATTTCGAGGAAGAAACTTCTTAATCTATATTATCTGCAAGCAATGAGGCATTTACTATCGAAACTCCTAAATATCTATGATCTGGTCGTAATTTCTTGTCGCCCACACGCAGTTTTGGTTGTTTATGAAGGAGTTCCACGAACTTCATCGGTTTCATGGTTTCTCTGGTATCAAAAGTTGTTTGAAATGCACTCAAAATTGTTTCTGTTCATTGGGATTTTGAAAACTCTTATCATAGATTGGATAAGTTGCTAGAACATTCACTTTCTCCGTTCTACTAGGTGATTTCTAAAAGGTGAGACTACTAGTTGAAGCTCTCAGCCATCTCATTGTCTTCTCATTTCAAAAAATCATTCGCAATGTGCTAGTGACATTCGTATTTTGAAAGAGCGATTCAATGGGTACGAGCTGGAATTCATCACATTGATTGGAAAGTTCGAAACGTACCACTCTCCGTACCAGAGGTCTTACTAGTTTCCCCCTCTTGTCACCAACGTTCCTTCATAACTTCAGCTTTTTCCCATCCATGATGCCCTGTTGGTGATTCAAACGTTTTTAGTCGAATGGAGCATTCTTCGAGTAGTATCGGGTTTGGGGAATGAGTGAGACATCCTTCGTTCTGGTGGAAAAAAGTTGAAGGAGAGAATCAAGGATGCGGTCGACAACTTCTTTGAGCCCTTGATGGATCGACGTACTACCGAAAAATGGCCATTTGACATAGCGGACTGCTGTGGGGCATACATTTCAGTACCGCTATTCGTCGTGAACCTTCGCCTGAAACAAGCCTACCATTTTTTGCCGAAGCTGGTTTTGCAGGAGTGTTTTCCAGTGTCAGGATAACGGTTTATTTACGCACCCCAAGCAGCGCTTACTCGATACCCTGCATGACCACTCGGAATTAGTTGGCCTTCATCCCGACCAGGCATTCATTCAGAAGAAGTGAAAGTTACTACACCGGAAAACAGACCCCGATTTTAAGCGGGTCAAATTCAAATGAAGTGTTTTCCGGTGATTAGGTGCAGAGGAAAGGTGCTAGTCTATGCTGTGAAAGGCTCATTATGTAGCGTTGTGCTTGTCTTCCTTTCATTTTGTCAATTCGGACGCTCAAGCCAAACTTTTCCTTGAAAGCTTCTTTGTTTTGAGAGCATTCCTAGCAAATTTGAAAGTTTGTTTTTAGACTGCCAAGTGCTGTGCTGCTGTTTCTCTCAAACATTTCTCATCGTTTCGTGATTCATGTTTTTAAATGACATTGAAAGGTTTTTCAACCTGGTTATAGGAAGTTGTGGTGATTTTCAGGCAATTCTCAGTGAGGACCCTCCACTGAAAAAATGGCGAACCCTCAAGCGAAGGTAGGATTTTTCAATGCCGTTTTAGTGGTTCTCAACCGTTTTCTGTGAAATGGACTCGATCTTTTAGTTTGTTTCAGCAAGCTATCGCTGAGAAGGATCTAGGAAATGCGGCATATAAATTGAAAAATTTCGAGGAAGCACACAAACACTATGATAAAGCCATTGAACTCGATCCTTCTAACATTACGTTCTATACTAATAAAGCAGGTAAGCACAATTCGGCGAGCATCGCAGTAGTGTGCATGCCTGTTCTATTGTTTTTATCTTGCCTGAACCATAACAACTTAAGACTGAATATTGTTCAGCCGCCTACTTCGAAGAACATAAATATGATGACTGCATTGAAGTTTGTAAGAAAGCTGTTGAAGTTGGACGTGAACAGAGGGCTGATTTCAAGTTGATTGCAAAGTAGGTCTTTTTCCATTCTAAATTACTCTTTTGTTAGTTCGTGGTACCACCGCATTCTCATCGGAAACCATTCCTTGAGAGCGGTTTTGTCAATCGAAGCAGTCATGCTTTTGCTTGCTAGAGCAACAAAGTGGAAAGATATTATACACAGGGTTCCACGTTGTCTCCTTGTTTCGATTGCGGTTGTGAATCAGCATTTTCCTTACGGTTTTCAATTCTCTATAACAGCAATGAGCAGCATCTGCCACTCTTTGTAGGGGAGAGCTCAAGCGAACTAGAGATGTCGGCATAGAAATGGTGTTTCAATAGCCATGTTTGATGCCCTGACCAGCTCTACTTGGCCAGACGGGCTTGCATCAAGTGTGATGACTTATGCTGCACCACCACCCTCACCAGGGAATAACCGGCATTGCTCTATTATCTATTCCACTTTCCTTACCTTTCCGCTAGCTATTCCTTCGAAACATCTATTTTCAATTGGTGCTATGTTTCCTCCTGTGACAGCCACTTGAAATTTCTTAGCTTCTGCGTTATCCATAGCACCTGGACCCATAGTAACCACCATTAATTTATGCTTCATATATGCAAGAGTGATTGTTCATGGGAAAACCTTGTTGTCGAGTATAGTAATAATGAGTGGCCTAATGTGTAAGCTTACCAGTATCTGCCCCTCCCCGTATTTTGAATATTGTATTCCCCCGTCAGCTACACCAACTTGAGCTTCGATCTACATTTCAGTAGAGCACAGTTTTTACCGTTACGATTGGAATTGAGTTCAGGCTCCAACACGGATTCAGCGTATTTTGTCCTGAAGACTTGGTCGTTTTTGTTCGTAGGATTAATAATCGTAATAGTGGTTTCCATCTTTATCGTTAGAGTCTCTTCCATTGTTGTCTTATACGATTCACCTTCTTCTCCACAATGATTTTCTATTTTAATTTACGCTTGTATGTGCTTCAACACATTTTTATAGAGCTATGGCTCGAGCTGGAAATGCGTGCTCCAAAAAGGAGGATTTGAAGGAAGCCCTCAACTGGTATGAGAAGTCTGTGTCCGAGTTTAGGGACCCTGTGGGTGTTTAGGTTTCATTAATTTTTTTTGAGCCAGTTTGCAAAGGTTTACTATTACTGCTTATTTTTTAGGAAGTTGTTAAAAAAGCAAAAGAATTAGAGAAACAAATCAAAGAAAGTGAACGACTGGCTTATATCAATCCCGAGTTGGCCCAGCAAGAAAAGAACTTAGGAAATGAGCTGTTCAAGGTATTTACGAAATATTGCTGCTTATACTTACTCTTAATCATACATGTTGTTCAGAAAGGAGATTACCCTGGTGCCATGAAACATTATAATGAAGCTGTGAAACGAGATCCTGATAATGCCATTCTGTACTCTAACCGTGCAGCGTGCTATACAAAGCTGATGGAGTTTCAACGAGCGCTTGACGACTGTGAGCAATGTATCAAACGAGATCCGAAATTCAGTGAGTTTCATGCATCATTTATGTTATAGAGGTTGGTGATATTGCCTATGTTGTTCTTGCTTTCTCGGTACTTAGGCAAACTAATAATGACTGCTCTGTGGGCGCTGTTATTCGCGATAGTTGGTGTGACTGCTTAGTCTACTGTAAATCACCTTCAATGCGTAATGATCGATTCTTAATGTCGCCATTTTAGTAAAGGGATACATTCGAAAAGGTGCTGTGTTGACTGCAATGCGTGAGTGGACTAAGGCAAAACGAGCCTATGAGGATGCCCTTGGTGTGGATCCTTCAAATGCTGAAGCCCTCGAAGGGCTGCGCAACTGCTTCCGTAGTAACGACGAAGATCCAGAAAAAGTAGGAATCTTGTTTTCTGTTAGAGCAATATGATGAGATGTATTTTTGACCCTTGTCACTTATAGGCCAGAGAACGTGCACTTGAAGATCCTGAGGTTCAAGCTATTCTTCGTGACCCGGGAATGCGATTGTTGCTCGAGCAGATGAGCCAGGTAAGATGAAATGCTAGCTTTTTAAAACTGTGGTGATACCATCCTTTATAGGACCCTGGAGCTGTTAGGGAGCATCTTCAAAACCCTGAAATAGCGGCGAAACTTATGAAGCTCCGTGAAGCTGGTATTATTCAAATGAGGTAATGGGGTCAAGCATAGTCGAATGCTGGTATGACCTCATTAATACTTGTTTTTGAGGTTTCTCGTTTTTGATGTCTCTTTAGTATTTCCGAAATTAGACATGATATATCCACATCACTTATGTGCTGTTGCGTTTTCGAGGCATTCTATGTTCTCACCTTCCCAACTTCGATTTCGTGACTACGATCTTTGTATGTGGAATTCATCTCGGTGTTTACTGCTGTTTCAGTCTCATTATTCCTTTTTACGTGTTCAAAGATAAAGGTTATGATTTTTGCTTATGCTTGTATCAAAGTGAGTTTTTTGCTCTCGTATTGGTATTGGAAATAATCTCATGACTTCTCTTTCAAAGTTAAATTTACTCGTGAATGGAAAGTTCAAGAAGAAAAGAGAATCTCACTGGGAAGTTTCTAATCTCTATTGCCATTGCCATTATCGCATTAGTTAAAACGAGAGGCAGGTGAATTATTGTCTTAACACTGTTTTGCGAAAACAAGCTAGTGTACGTGCTGATGTGGTCGTTACTTTCCGATTTCTTTGACCCGAAGGTTGACATGTCCTATCAACTACCTATTTCTCACGAGTATGGCGAGCTATAGAAAAGGCTTATTTTCAAGAGGTACAGGTAGTTATGAAACAGCGATAATCGATAAGCTCTTAGTGAGAACACCTCGCCACCAGCCCCAAGTTTTGGTGCTAGATCGCGCTCTGCTCATATCACATTTCCTGACCTTCCTTCGTTAGGTTACCTCAAGAATAGTTTGAAAGTTACACTTGTATTCGAGTAGTGGAACTCATTCTCTATTGTGAACTCATTCAAGAAACTTGTGAATTGAAAACGGCACATAACTGCATGGTTATTCTGGAAGCTGTATTCACTTTAGAGGAAAGGTGCTAAGCATATTTCTGACCTTGGCCGTTGATATCGTCGCTTCGAGTGTAGCGTACCTTTTTAGGGAATGTACTGAATGCTTTTCAGCATTCCAACATGGTTAATTTCGTAATGCAACGTTTTCAATGCTAAAAATCACTACTCTCCAGCAAAATGACGATCATCAATCATTCCGAAGCTCTCGCTTCCAGGTTCTTTCTCACAGGTTTTGTATGAACTCAACGAATCGTACAGAGCCTCTCATGTCACTTTTGATGGATCACTGACTTTTCATCAGCGTAAAAAGAGCATGACAAATGGACTGATAACAGAGGACGAGAATGGGTCTTGTATCTAAACGTTATAAACATGTACCAATGGTTTTCAAAAGGAGAATCATTTCGAAATCACCTGAAAGCTGACTCATAAAAGAGGGCGGCTTATCTATTCTGCTTGTAGAGCTGCTATATGAGCGACAGTAATTTCCTTCAATGTAAAGTATTTGGCAGATCAATCCCGTTTCTGGGAAGAGCCCCACATTCGACTTTGAACGCGTATGTTGTATATACAATGACTTGCAATGCTCAGCCGATAAGCAATTCAGTGCTTTACCCTCCTAGACTAGTACGGTAACAACCAAGCAAACTTTGTTAGCCTGGTCGAAGACGACTCGGGGGTCGATCCCCGGACCATATGTGTGCCATGGTGCGCCTCTTTCCACTATACCACCCGCCCTGAAAATCTTTCACGACAACAAATTTCGACCAAATAGGGTGCCGACCGATACAGTCTTCAGTAGTGGCACAGAGCTGCAGGAAATCTTTTCCCTTCTGACAGGTAGCATTCGAAAAGACGGGAATCCAGACTTGCTGACTGGGGGACGGAACTTACGTGCTGTCGAGGATGCGCGCGGCTAATTACGCGGAGAAGTTCGTGGCGATCCCTGCGAATTTAGCGCCCACCATTGGAGCCTGAATTTGAAGTAGTGTAGATTAGTCGGATCGGCTGACCCTACTAAACTACTCTACTTCAAGTTTGTGCCCCAATGATAGACGTCAGAGTCGTTCAAATCTCCATCAACCTCGCCGCGCTCGTCATCGGGCGCACGTAAGTACCCATACCCTTGCTGACTTGGTGAGAAGTGCATGGTCAGTAGTATTACTCTCGAGTTCTAAGGAACACATACGGGGATGTAGATCAATAATTATGAAATACCCGGAACTAGACTTCATTAAAGACTATTCATAATAGAAGAGGCTATATTATCGGTTGAAGTCGTTTTTGGCATATACAAGTTGCGACTGAAGTCTCTTATTTTTGGTGCTTAAGAGTATATGTGTATGTGTATGTGTGTGAGTAATGTGTGTGGTGGGTGTGCGTGGGATGTGTGGTGTGTGGGCACTTTTCTTTTTGAATTGAGCAAGTACCCCTAGTACGTATGCCAGGCTTCGCTCTTTTTTTTTCTGTTCATCGCTACACATTGATTGCGCCAATGTGGATTAGGAAACGAGTCGTTCCAATAAAAAGCTGCAGGTGAGTTCTCTAATTGCAAGTGGTTTTTTATTGGAAAGATTCTCATGAAGATTTCAACTCTGTATCGGTGAAAGCGGTAAACGAAAGCAGTCATCCGGCCCTTTGCCCACCCTTCCCCTCCCAAACAAATCAGAGGTATTGCAGCACATTTTTTTTTTCGTTTTTTCCATTTGTTAATAAACCGAATTACCGGAGGTCCTGCACATGTCTCAGGTATGACCAGGGCCATTACACCTGGACGAGGTCGTCGGGCACGTTGAACAGTTTCGATGCTGCCATATCGAAGGGACACCTGGTTCTCACCCCTTGTCCAACTGTGCTTCCCATCGTACACCATATACTGAACAGATTCAATTATAAAGTGTTTGAGCACACATTATTCAATCAATATAATGTGATGGCATAATTTAGTTAATGAACGAAAGTCAGAAATGGTGGGAAGAATTAAATTATGAGATAATGCAGATAGTCACAATATCGATTACCGCACTCGAAGTTGCTATGCGTCGCGTTGAAGTCAGACTTAAGCAAGCGTGCGCTTGCTTTCCAGTAAGCATTTTCTGTTGCGGCTATCACTTCTTATGACGTTCACCATAACCTCTTTTGCATTAACTTGACGTTTTGAGAAGTTTCGTTTTTTTCCTTGGTCGCTCTCTCTTCTTCAAAACAGTGCACTGGATACTGCAGTCGAAAACTTGTAAACAGAATGTCTCCACCGGAACTCACAAGATGATAGGCTTTCATTCCTACTTTACTGCTATAGGCGCCAGTTGGAGTAACAGACTGGATGATACACATCTAGACCTCCCTCTCCCTTCTCAGAGAACCCTTTCAGCTAGCGGAGAACGAGTTCGGGCCAGATATATTGGATTTGTTCGTTTAATTCTAGATTCAGATATAAAATGGCCTAGCCCGAGGTCGAAAATAAAAAGTAGCAGCTTCACAATCACAGCTTTGCATTAAAAGTATTTAAAAAGCCGCAATTTAAGGGTCAACAACCGGGTCCTGCAAAATCCGGTTTGTCGACCACCCATAAAGCAACAAAGTCCACGAATCATTGAACAATTAGAGAATACTGTCATATGTGTCACTTGAAGTGTTTATTTATTTTGAATAGCGCTTACTTTTTTTTCAGTCAAGACTCCGAAAACTAGGCGGGCTTTGAATTCACATCCTTTGATATGTGTATGCAATAAGAAGTACATGATATTAGGGTGTCGCAAAAGTTTTGCAAAATTTTTGGTCATGAATTTCGCAACCATGTTGCGCAAGAAAGCGCCGAAGCAGAGCCACGGAGAAAAGGTCAGTAAAAGGTCACGCTTCGTAGATCATTATAACAAGAGAACTGTATTGCACTTCATCTTTGGAAGTGAGCTATCATCATTTGATTTATGTCCGAAACGAGGACAGCAACTGACTCAATTATTGCTCATAATAAAAATTGGGTACCATATGAAAATCCACACAGGAAATCTCAATGGCTACCAGTGGACGTAGGGCCACAGTTCGCTACAAAGCGAGGAGACATGCCATGAAGGGCATGAGCTCATTCTTCCTCTGCTCAACCGGGTGTTTTACTACGAGATCCTACCAGAGTGTACTGCAGTAAAGGCAGGAGTATTCTGTTACCGGCTGACTGAAATGGTGCTCCGAGCTCAGATTTCTCACCGGTTACAAGGGAATTTCCGATTATGATGAGTAATGCTCGACCACCCCGGGCGAGAAAGTCGATGGATGAGCTGGAAAGACCTGACATTACCTGAATACCCCACTCCCCACATATTCACCCTGACCTCATCCCATATGACTGCCATACTTTCAGGAGCCCACATACCTCCTCTACAGGAAAAAAATTCACCAACTGTCGAGAGGTCAAGTGGGTGGTAGATGAATGAATTGCGTCATGCCTCTCTTCAAACTGGAAGAATGGCGTCAATGCCCTGTTCGGTTGATGGAGAGACATTGTGGCTAAGAAGGGCCACTATCCTGATCACTGATCTAAGTTTGCTGCTGTAGTTATTTTGTGTTGAAAAAGCAGCTGATCTTTTTCAAAACTTTTGGGACACCCTAATATTTGGCAAATGACAGGCACAAAATTCGAGCATTTTCGCTCAAATTACCAAAGGATTCGTTTAAGGCGATCCCTTATTGGTATATCGTCTTCTCACCATGTAATTTAATCTACGCCTTTAAATGGTGCAGGGTCAAGGGCGAGGCGTAAGTGGATTCGTTCCATACAAACTTATTTATCATTCTTCTGTGTTGTTCTTGAGGAAGTCCGCACTTACTAATTTCTTGTCAAATATTCACTCTCTCACCACAGGAGCTTATGAACCCCTACCTCTTGCTTAACCACAGTCCTAGAGAGTTTTGGCTTATCCATGTTACCTTATCGTAGAAAAAGAAACAAGCAAGTAGAATTTTTGTGTATCTGCCATTTTGTTAAGACATCGCGTACAAACAACAACGCTGAATTACATTAACGAGCGCTCAGTGGCAATAGTGCAGAGTTTCACATCCTCCGGGGGATCGAGCAATTCTTCCCTCACTTGTTTCTAGCGCTTTCCTCTCCGGAAAACCTACTTCAGGCAGAGCAATG